ATCATGAGAATCCTCCACAAGGTTGACTGCCTTCCATTGAGGACACTCATTGGATAAGTGTCCTACTTGCCTGCAGCGAAAACACTTTCCTAAAGTAGGTCTAGTGTATGCGCTGGGTGTTCTTTTTGCCGACTGCTCTGTGTCTTTGGATCATCGGGACTTTTCCCTTTAGAGTTAGGGACAGTGCTGATTGTGGCCTTATCGAACAAAGAAGATCCCTTTCTGGAAGAACCCGCTTGATTGTTGCCTACAGTTCGTCTTTGGTACTGATTTCGAAACYGATTTGTCTGTTGTTCCTCAACTGTGATGGCCGTGGCGATTGCTTCATCCAGGTAGCCAATAGGTTGTAGTTGAAGCTTTTCCTTTATGTCTGCCCGAAGGCCACTAACAAATCGAGCCACCTGGTATTGATCAGATTCACCCAAATTCGTTCTTGCCCCCAACCTATGGAACTCTTCCGTGTAATCAGCAATAGAACGAGTCCCTTGTTTGCAATTTTGATATTGATTGTATAGTATTTGCTCGAAATTGATAGGTAAAAATCTAGCTCGCATTAGTTTCTTCATTTTCTCCCAAGTACGAATAGGGGCCTTACCGAGACGATACCGATTAGTCTCCAACTATTCCCACCAAGCTGATGCGCTGCCTTTCAATTTGAGAGCCACCAGTTTTACCTTCTTGTGATCGGGGGTGGACATATATTCGAAGAAACTTTCGACATTCTTGATCCACTCAAGAAAGCCCTCAATGTCCAATTTTCCATCAAAATGAGGAAGATCTACCTTCATCTTGTAATCACTTTGCTCTCGAGGATTATGTTGGTTGTAAGGGTGCTGTCGTCGGCCATCTCCCCAATGCTGTAGGTCCTCCTCATCACTGGACGAATCCATGTTAAATTCTTGTCGTCGGGGAAAATGACCATATCGACRATGAGCACGATGATCCCTTTGCCATCCTTGATAATGTTGAGGAGCAAAAATAGGTTCTTGATAATCTCTAGGTGCCTTGGCATAGACTTCTTGGTTAGGGGTATGCGGAATGACAGGGTTTCTTCTAGGAATAGGGAGGGGTTCTTGATCAGGGAGGGGATCTTGAAGCAATCTTGGAGTTGGGTGTTGTGTCTCTCGGCCATTAACAATCCCTTGCTCTTGAATGTCCTTTCCATTCTTCTTTCTTGGCTTTTCTTGCTGCACTTGTAGGTTTTCGATCTTATCTACCAAAACATTCAATATTTGTTGAATCTCTACCACATTCCGCTGCAAATTTTCAACAGCTCTTTCAACCATCAATAAACGATTGGTTGATGATCATGGAGAGAGGGCGGCAGTAGCTTTCGCCTCTTTTTCGGCGAGTGAAGAATCTCCCCCAACGGAACATTCTTTTTTCCCGCCATTCACAAAAGCCCCTAGGGTGTTGGATGCTCTGATTTACCAATTTGGTGTAACCAAATTTGAGAGAAAACTTGATTGTATTAGATGATGAGAAAAGATACAAATGACTTCCTATTTATAGGAAAAGTCACGTACAGGGTAATAACAACCCAAGCTTTAAGAATATAACTAACTAACAACTAACTTAAGGAAAGTTAACTAATTGTTWGCTACATCATCGCGTGTCTGTATCTGTGCTTCTTAGCTTGATCCTATTTTGATTGCAAATGAGGCTGTATAAGAGTATAGATAGAGATGATGGCTAGGGTGGATTCTCAAACTAGATATAGAAAAAACGTTTGATTGCATTGACTGAGACTTCCTTGATGAAGTTATGAAGCTGAAAGGTTTTGATGAGAAATGGCGGCAGTGGGTGAATTGTTGTATTCGGGACACTAAATTCTCGATCTTCATAAATGGTAGACTGCAGGGGAGAATTTTGGCTTCAAGAAGTCTAAGGCAAGGTGACCCGCTTTCTCCCTTCCTTTTTCTTTTGATTAGTGATGTTTTGAGTGGTCTAGTGGAAAATATTTTCAGCAATGGTTTGTATGAAGGCTTCTGAGTGGGCTCCAACTCAATACATGTATCAATCCTTCAATTTGATGATGATACATTATTATTCTACAAAAATGATGACTCCATACTAGAACACTTGATCAAGGCAGTAGAACTTTTAAATGGTTTTCGGGTCTCAAGATCCATGAGATGAAATCAGCTTTATGTGGATTAAATATTGATGAGTTCTGGTTTTTTCCCTCATGCGGTCGTTGGCTCTGAAATTCGTTTGGTTCTCCAAACTCTGTAGCAAACAATTTTTCTGAGTTCTGGTTTACAATGTTTTTATCTTCTTTGAGCTTTTATTGCTCTTGTTGTGCTAATTCTTCATTATTTTTTTCTTCTTCTCTCTCTTCTTTTTTACCCCTTTGGGAGTTTGTATCTCGAACATCTTTTTTTCCTTTTCATATATCAATGAAAAATTGTTTCTTGTTACAAAAAATGATGAGTCAAAGGAGATTCATTTTGCTTCAAGACTTGGCTGCAAGATAGAGCCTTTGCCCTTTCTTTACCTTGGTCTTCCCCTTGGTGGTAGTCCCCAGACAACTTTCTTTTGGCAGCCGGTGTTGGATAAAATCAAGAAGAAGTTAAGATAGATGGAAGCAATTGAATCTATCGAGAGGAGGCAGATTGACTCAGTGTAATTCAGTCCTCTCAAATATTCAAGCTTATTACATGTCACTCTTCTTATTGCCTTCCAAGGTAGCTTTGGAGATTGACAGTATTTGCGCAACTTCCTATGGGAAGGACATGCAGGCGTAAGGTAATAACTTGGTTCAATGGCCTATTACTTCTAAATCTCTTTTGGATGGTGGTTTAGGGATTGGAGGATTAAAAACAAAAACACAGCACTCATGTCAAAATGGGGGTGACGCTTCATCAATGAACCAGATAGTCATTGGCACAAAGTTGTCTCAAGCATCCACGGCTTGGATCCATTAGGGTGGCACATGGTTGGAAGGAAAAATGCTTCTTTAAGAAGTCCATGGAGTAGTATTTCTAGAATCTGGCAGAAGACGAATATTTATTCACCCTTCATTGTGGGGAATGGTAAAAGAGTTCTCTTTTGGCATGATCGATGACTTGGTAACCTACCTTTTACATCTCGTTTTCCTCTTATTTCTAAAGTGCTGTTGCTGCCCAATGGTCTTATAGCTCTGATGTCTGGGATCAGAATTTTCTTACTTGGAAAATCACTTATAGAAGACATTTGAAGGAAGATGAAATTGTTGAATTTAGTAGTTTGTTGGAAGTCTTGGACCTGGTTAAATTATCATGTGCTGAAGATGCTTTAGGCTGGAATTTGGAGTCTTCAAGGAAGTTCTTCGTAAATTCTTTATTCAGTCAACTTTTCAAGTCTTCCTTTGCAGAAGGAGGTTTTTTCAGGCCTTTGGTGAACAAAAACTCCTAAAATAATCAATATTCTGATTTGGATTCTCTTAAACAACAGTCTTAACACGACAAATATTCTTCCAAAGAAGCTCTCTCATTTCCAGTTTTTGCCCTCAGTTTGTATCCTTTGCCTCGCGGCTTCCGAAGATCAGAATCACATTTTTTCGGCTGTCCTTTCTCTTTGAGTGGCTGGTTCTGTCTATTTAAGAGATTTGGGCTTCTTTGGGCTTTCTCAAATGACTATAAATGCAATATTTGAATCCTTTGATTGGTCCTTCCTTACACACAAGAGCTCATCTCTTATGGTCCAATGGAGTCAAAGCTATTATTTCAGAAATTTAGTTGGAATGCAATCCTAGAATTTTTCAATGCAAACACAGCGGTGCTTCGTCCCGATTTGATATAGCCTCTCAAAGAGCCTCGCAGTGGTGTTCTCTCTCCAATTCATTTTTGGGTTATAAGTTCATAGATATTGCTTGAATTAGGAAGCTTTTATATTTTCTGAATAGCTTTGTTAGAGCTTTCTGTTTTAGTCCTTGGTTTGGTGGATTGGTTGTATTGTTTTTTTCTCTTCTCCTTGTATTTTTCTCTCCCTTTTCATTACATCAATAAAATTTGTCATTTCATGTTTTAAAAAAAGAAAAGATGGCAAGTATCAAAAAAAGGGAGGTGCCAATGCAGTTATCCTCCCGAGACGAATATGTACAACATTGGCCAATAAAAGGGGTAGTACTGGTGAACCAGGGATGGACCTAAAAAGTGAATGTCTGGGGAAACCTTGAAAAATTTTAAATTATTATTATTTTTTTATAAGCAACAAACGACTGCAACAGCCTAAGAGACAAAGGGACAAGATGCCCAAGGGGGGTTACATAAATGCCTTCCATGTGAACTGACAGTAAAGGTAGAGTAGTTTCAAAAGGTTTTTGTTGAGGACTCCAATCAGAGTTCAGAGGTGAATTGTACAAGATCACGAAAGTATTCAAAAGAATTTGAATTATCTGAAAAAATTCTAGCATTTCTTTCAAAATCAGCCACAAAATTGCCTTAGAAATGTTAGACAAGCACTTTGACTTTATCCTTGGACCACCATCCAAAAAACACTTTCGAGAGCCACCCTTCAAAATAATTTGGTTGGTCTACACCACTGATGCCTGAAGAAATTACAAAAGTGGTGCCATACTTTCTTGGCCTAATGGCTAATTCTTTTATATGCTTTGAGCTAAAGATGACTGGGATGTATTTCTAACTAATCCATTCTAGAAGTCTTTATTTTTGTTTCCATGGATTTTGCATGTTTTGGAAGGTTTTTTATTAAAAAATCTTATGCTTAGCTTGTGTACCTCAAGACTGCTGCTGTCTTTTTTTTTCTTCCTTCTTTTTCTTCTTTCTTCTTTCTTTTTAACATGATTCAAACTTTTAATCGATAAATAAAAAGGAACAAAATTGTTCAAGGAGTGGTTCTATAGTAATAACCTGCAAAGCTTTTGCTTGTACCGTTGTACTGCATGGCTCCTCAGTCTTGCTGATTTTTCTGTGGTTATTTTATATTCATAATTGCAATGTTCATGACTTTTTTTTTTCTTTTAAAATTGTTCATTTATCATTTCATTTTTGTTGCAGGAGATGATGGGGCTTGCATACTTTTTGCTGGACCAGTCAAGAAAGGAAGCTGAGTATTGCATGGAAAATGCAATTAATACTTATTTGGTACGAATACTATTTTTTAATATTTTTTCCTTCAATGTTTTTAGTTGGTACGAAGGCTTTGTTGGTGCTTATTTTCTGTGAGGCAATTTTAAGTTGTCCCGTACATGAACTCTTGTTTGAGATGAAGTTAAGTTCTTTATCAAATATATGCATTTCTATCTCATTAGTAACTAGATCCATCATTTTTCAAATTTAAAAACCATTTGCAGACAGGTGAAAATTGAAACTTGCAATTCCCAAGCATATTTTGTCCATTAATACAGAAGGGTCCAAGGATTGCATAAATGTCCTACCATAAGCTATCAACTAATTCAAATATATATCATAGAGGACCCGTTGCCATCATGATACCTTAATGTTATGTTTCCCCAATTAAAAATTTAGAGTTGAGAATTTGTAGGGACAGGTGTGGGCTATGGCTGGGTTTAACGCTTTTTACTGGGCTCCTATCCTTGAAGGAGTTTTGTTGTGTCTTTTATGCTTGACAACTAGAGCTCTATTTGTAATTTTTAGGTCTATTCCGTTATACAAGCCTCTTTTATAGTGAGCTTTTCTCTTTTTTGTATCACCTGTTTGGATGTATGCTTTTATTTATCTTCATGTAAGCTTGGTTTTTCATCAAAAGAAAAATTAAAGAAAGATCTAGGGGTAAGTTAATGCGTTTGGGAGAGTTTGATTGGATGATCTCCTTTTTGACTTTTCTTGTTTTCTTTGTGGTTGATATTCTTAGGACTTTTTTTGGATTAATATTTTCTTTTAGAATTTTTTATGGAGAACTAAACTTTTGTCGAGATAAATGAAAGAACAAACAGCAAAAGGGGGCTATAGAAAACACATAACAACAGGAAGTTTCAAACGAGACAAACAACAAAAATAGGAAAAAAAGATTAAAAGATTAGCTCAAACTGTTAAGAATTTAAAAGAAAAAATAATTACGACTCTTTGGTCATAGAAACTAAAAAGGAGGCTTTAAATTAAACCGTGGACCACCCCTCCCCCTAAAAATTGTTTTAGTTCTCTCAATCTAGATATCTTCACAATATATGATCCAATTACTCAGAACCATACTTGCAGACAACAGACCACTGTTATCCTTGCAACACAGAAGATTTTGATAAAGTTAGTTGTGTTCGTCTTTCATGGATAACCATCTAAGCAAACAACTTGATCTTCTTGGTAATTTTAACATTCCTACATACATTCCGAAGTGAAGATAATACAGTGGTGATATAAGGACCAGGGGGCAGGGGGACACAAAAGCGACAAGAATCAATAAGAGAACCTGCAAAAAGAATTAAGGATCCAAATACGAAAATTTCTGGACTCTAGGTGAACACAAAACCCATGCAATAGAAGAGCAAAAAGATACACCAGAAGTTACCCTTTTAGATAGCAAACGCCCAACACCAAAGTTGTATAAAGTGGAATCCAAGAGAAAGGAGGGATAGAAGCTATAGAAGCAGACTTCATCAAATACATTTTGGATCAAATTAGACTTGATGAACGGTAAATAATTACATGTAAACAAGGATTTAATAAGCAGTTACAATACATGAAACTAGAACATACAGATTCTACTTTCTATTCTTGTAATCTTTTTTCTGTGAAGAAAACGATTTATAAGTTATCCTAGAGCTAACTTATGTAACTAACCTTCCCACTGCCACTAACTCGTGAAAATCATGCCTTAACATAGATACCTTAGATTTGGAAATGATATTTGAGGAAAGGTGGAAGGAGGATACTTGAATAACTATATTGATGCTATCTGTTTGGTAGATGTTTTCCTAAGAAGCTTTGTATATAGTGTGTTTTTAAGGTCTATAAAATTTTCATTCGTCAATTGGATTTAAATTCATGCAGAAAATGGGACCATCTGGTCACCTAAATGCAACACGCTGTGGTCTTTGGTCGGCAGAGATGTTGAAGGCAAGAGAACAGTACAGAGAGGCTGCTGCTGTTTACTTCCGTATTTGTAATGAGGTAGGTCGTAAGTACCTCGATACCAATTACAAAGATTTTTTTGCTTTGAAGCACTTCTCTACCTTTTTCGTTTTAAAAATTTTTAGGAACCTTTACATTCTGCTGTCATGCTTGAGCAAGCATCGTATTGTTACCTGTTATCCAAACCTCCTTTGATACGCAAATATGGATTTCATCTTGTTCTTTCTGGTGATCGTTACAAAAGAATGGATCAAGTACGTATATTCCATAATCCAAATATTTGGCAAATAGTGTAGCTTGATTAATATTTCATAGGTTTTTTAAGCCACTGGTATTGGCCTTTTCAGATTAACCATGCAATTCGTACATATAGAAATGCAATTGCTGTTTTCAAAGGAACAGCATGGAGCCACATCAAAGATCATGTACATTTCCATATTGGACAGTGAGTTTTTTATTTTTTGATTTTTGTAACTTCAGAATATATTTTTATTTATTTCTGATGAAGCAATAGTTTACTTTAATTTCTCCTCCGATGCTACGACATCTATCAAATGTAAGATTTTTATTATATAAAGTTCTCTCTTATAGGTGGTATGCTTCTCTTGGTCTATATGATGTTGCCGTCACTCARATGTTAGAAATTCTTGACTGTAATCATCAGTCGAAGGCAACACAGGAGTTGTTCCTTAAAGATTTTCTAAAAATTATTCAGGTGCCTCCTTGTGCTAGTTACTTTCTTTATTTGTCAACTGTCACTATTCTGTCAGTCTGCATCAACAGTAAGGCATTCGGTTTCAGCCTGTTTCTCTGTTTTCTTATTCTAYACGACTTTTGTTTCTTATTAGAAAAGAATGAGATAATGCGGAAATTCTCTGTAAGTGAAGCACATAGAAGATTTAACAGGCAGTAGCTGTCCCTTAACATCATTATTCGGTTGCATGCAATTTTCATCTGTTCTTTCTGAGATGCTTTTTTTTTTTTAATAAATCTTTTCCAAATTTTGAATCTGACACAGGAAGAACTTTTCATTTGATGATTTCTAATTACAGCGATCATTTCAGCACTGTTAGCTCCCAATTATTGAATTATTATATTTTCTTTCTTTCTGATTTAATCGTGCAGAAAGCAGGAAAGACAGTCAAGGTGTTAAAACTACCATTGCCCAAGATCAACTTCTCGTCATTAAAGGTTATCTCTGAAGATCATCGAACTTATGCATCATCTGCAGCTGTAAGTGTAATTTTTGTCATTAGTTTATGGATACGGAAGCCCCTTAAACCATCTCTCTTGCAGTCTCTCTCTTTATCCCTCTCCTCTTAAGTCCTCCCATTTCCTTGTATTTCATTTGAAAATAAATGCTCTTTTAATGTTGATAATGACGCTTTATTTTTTTTTCCTACCTGGTTTAGTCCCATTAGAATGTGAGACCTACTTTAAAATTGAGAACCATTCTCCCAAAAATGGGGACTCCATACCATAAGAAAACCTCAAGTTCATTCCCTTTTCCTACTATGATTTCATCACAGAAGGGTTTGGGGGGAATGCCCTTAAAGGAAAGGCTTCCGTTCTTTGGAATTGTGCAGCAAGAGCCRTCCTTTGGCTTATTTGGTGGGAAAAGAATAGTAGAATTTTTTAAAACAAAAAAATTTCAACAGATTCTTTTTTTGTGGATATCAAGCATACGGCTTCATGGTGGGCTTCAATACACAAGAAGGTTTTTTGTAATTAGAGTCTCTTTTTGATTATGAAAGATTGGAAGTCGATGATTGTATACTGTGATTGTATAGTCCTTTGGAGAGGGTTTCCTCTACCCTTYGCGTTTAGGTGTTATTGGCCTTTTTTGGGTCCTTTCCTAATATATTTTTCTGTTTCCTATAAAAAAAAAAATTCCCTTTTCCTACTTTGTGGATTCACGACCTATTTTCTAATTGTTTTACATTTTCACCTTCTCTCTCTTCTATTCTACCTATTATTATTAAATACCACATATCCAAAGTATCTTTGCAATTATCTTTGAAACTATGGCCGCAAAGCATTTAGTTAATGTTTAATTTTGTTGATTGATAAGAGGTCCAGCATAGACTGAACTCCCTAAATAGATATTTCCTACAATTTTTCTGGGTGCCCTTGATTCTCCTCTACTTCTTTGCATGGAACACACCACATGGGTCTGAAGATCAAGTTTAATGTACGTCTATAAAGCTTCCAATTGGTGTTAATATGAAAAGTAGTTTTACAATCGAGGCCTATATAGAAACAGTAGCACTCATTTTTTTCCACAACATTTACATTGAGACCCTGTCTCCATCTCTCAAAGTTCAGCTTTATAAGCTCCCTTTACTGATTCTAAAATCAGGAGAGCAATCAATGATTGGGGCACCAACAAATCTCCAGGACCAAATGGATTTGCTGCAAAGTACTTCAAAAGGTCATGAGTTCGGATCCCCACCCCCACATGTTGTACTAAAAAAAAAAGAAAAAATCGCGGAACATCCTTAAAGACGACATAAAGAGAGTGATCCACGAGTTTTTTGAGAATGGAATCAGAAATGCCAGCTTAAATGAGACTTACATTTGCCTCAATACAAAGAAACTGGATGCCAAATCTGTGGGAGACTTGCGACCAATCAGCCTTATTTCCTACTTATATAAAGATTATTGCCAGACTCCTAAAAGATTAAAGAAAGTTCTCCCATCTACCCCCATTGACTACCAGCTAGCATTTGTCAAAAGATTGACAAATTCTCGATGCTTCTGTTATATCCAACGAACTCATTGACGAATGGAAGAGGAAAAAGAAAAAAGGAGTCGTTATCAAACTAGACATAGAAAAGGTCTTTGATAAGTTTGATTGGACCTTCCTTGACATCATTCTCCAAGCTAAGGGCTTCGATAATAGATGGAGGAAATAGATTTAGGGCCGTATCTCCTTCGCAAATTTTATCATCATTAATGGAGAACTTCGAGGAAAGATTCAAGTTACTAGAGGCCTTCGTCAAGGAGATCCTCTCTTCCCCTTTCTCTTTATTCTTATTATGGACATCCTTAGTCGATTATTATCACTCTCAGTTTCTGTAGCGGTTTTCATGTTGACAATGACTCCATCTGTATTAATCACTTACTCTTTGTTGGTGACACAATTCTTTTTTCCACCCATGACAAACAGGAACTTACTAATCTTTTCAGCACTGTTAAACACTTTTGAGGAGGCTTCCAGTCTAAACATCAACCTTCACAAGTCTGAATTTTTGGGCATAAACTGTGAAGGTGACTTAGTCTTATCACTGGTGAGAGAATTTGGCTGCAAATGAACCCAATAGCTGAGTACCTACTTGGGTCTTCCTCTTGGAGTTAACTCATGGTCTATATCTGTTTGGACCCCGAAGTTGAAAAGCAGATACAATGGTGGAAAAGCTCTTGGAGTAAACTCTAAAGTTGGATCTGAATTTTGGAGTCTACAAGTACCAAAATCATTCCTGACTTATTTGAAGAAGTGTCTTGAGACGGACCATGCATTAACGCGACGAAAGARTCTTCAAACCAGGCTAAATGAGATGAATGAAGAGGCAACAACGTATTCCTTTTCACGTCTTCAATGAAAAAGTACTCATTTTCAATCCACATGCAATAGTGCTTATTCTTGATACAACAACTAACAACTATTAATTTTCATTGTAAAAGAAATAATTTCTACTCTTGAACACTTGCTTAACTTGCAACTTGAAGTGACTGGACTCAGTAGTGGGGATAAGCTGCTTGAAATTCACTAGGGCTGATGTTAAAAACTTATTTACCTTCTTTGTCTCCTTATAACAAAACAACTCCCTTACCAACGACTTCCCCTTAAGATACCATTACTTTACTAAGGTTAATGAAAGTGCAATGTTTCATTGATGATTCTTGTAGCTTATACATTACATGACTCTTGTAGCTTATGTTATGATTTCCTTAACAAATCTCATTGATATATTCTGAAATATGGCAGGCTAATGTTAGAGAAAGTTTATGGCGTTCGATGGAGGAGAACATCATTCCATCATTATCCTCTGGGAGGACAAATTGGTTGGAGCTACAGTCAAAGATTATGTCAAAAAAGTATAAGGAATCAAATATTTGTGTCGCAGGAGGTATGAAATTAATATAGTTTATCTCCACCCGGRTGATGACCATCAGAAATCATGTTATTTCAACACCATTTTCCAGAAGTGCCACGATTATTTGACATAACATTGCAAGATATGGTCACAGCATGTCTCYCAAAAAAAATGAACGAATCTTTATGTAATTATTTTATGATAACTTTTAGCTACCGCGGTGATTTTTGAAACCTGGGCCATTACCAGTGGTTAGTATACCTGTCAAATGGGTAATTATAAGTTTCACYGGTTACTTCATCAAAGTAACTTAATATAGTTCAAAAGGTTTTGCATGTTTCAGGGAGTTTTAATAAAATTATAAAATGTTCTTTTAAAGCTTCCACCTACAATGTACTTGATGTTTTTTTTAACAAGAAATAAACTTTTCATTGATAGTATGAAAAGGAAGAAAAATGTTCAAGGATACAAGCTCCCAAAGGAAAGCAAAAAAAGAAGAAAAACAATCCAACAAAGGAACCAAAATACAAGGTAATAGACAAGATCTAAAGCCAAAGGAATATCAGAAAGCTAAAAGAACAGAGGCTGAAAAAACTTTCCTCAACGAAGATTGCCAAATCAAAATGACTGTCTATTGAGGAGGAACCGCCAAACACAAAATTGAGGAGCTAAAAATTCCATGATAAACAAAAGTAAGGGTCTTTGACTGGCAGGATGAAGAAGTAATGAATCTGAAACATCCCTTCATCTAGAAAAGATAAGAATACTAAAAGATCTCAACCCTCAATGCGGAACCAACCGAAAAATTTGCTGTCCTTAATTAAAGCCTATCTATTCAGTGATTGGAATTAGGGTAATACCCTCCTCAAAATATTTGAAAAAGTTTTGATTATCAGTGCAAGAAGCCTTTTCGACTACCAAATGTTGTTCCGAGAAAGAGAAAGCAAGGCCCATTTTTCCAGAGGAGCTTAAGGAGTCTTGATCTTTTCCAAAAGAAAATTAAAATCTTCTGTAAAGGAAACCTCTGATAAGTCTTCATTACCAACCTCTTGATCTTCCAAAAATCCAGTTGAATCCTGACTGGTGACACCGATATTGAAATCTTCCTTCTCATTAGACAACGTTATCCTTTAAGTATTTATTTGACTGCTCACTCGTTGAATTAATGAAACCATGGCTGAGTGATGAAATACCTTTAGAAGCCATTTCATGATCCCAGGAGGCAATCATACCCTTTTGGATCCCTCCTCTTTCCTTCAAAAAAAAAAAAAAAAATCTTTTTCTAGAATTGTTTTGATTTAAGCTGGCTACCTCTAATGAGTCAGTACCATTTAAATTCTGTTGCCTTAATATTTGCCCCTTGATCTATGAGTCTTGGCTTTGGATTTGAATGTTTCTACGAGTCTTCTACCACTACTGTTTGGCACAATGCTTCCAGCTCAAGCTAACATACTTTGGGTTAATGGTATAAAGGCATTACTTTACGAAGTTTGGTTCTAAAGGAACCAAAGGGTGTTCAATGGAAAAAGGAGGTCTTCCCTAGATTGTTTCAACATTGCCAAGTTTAAGGCTTCCCCTTCCGATTTATTTGCTAACTTCTCTCCTAGCATGATTTGTATAAATTGGGAGACTTTTATTTGTCCTCGTTAGCTTTTGTCTTTATGGTTTATGTTATTATTTTTTTAATTTTTTCCTCTCACTCCTTCGAGAGTTTGTATCTTTGAACAATTTTTGTTCCTTTTCATCAATCAATGAAAAGTTTGTATCATGTTCAAAAAAAAAAAAAAAAATGGCAGGGGAGGAATAAAATTCCTCAGCGGCGGTAGATCAGGGTTAAATCTAGGGCTGCTAACAACCAAATTGTTGGTTGCCTTATCACTTCCCAAGGGATGAGATTCTTTACCTAGTTCATTTCCTTGACCAGATTAGAGTCTCGACGATATGTTTTCTAAAATAAGAGGAGCTTTTGGGCTGCCTTCTCGACATTCACTCAAAATTATAGAAAATCTTTCATTTTTTTCTTTTATCAGATGAAAGCCCTTGAAGAGACTCGTCATCTGACAATGACAAATGAAAGCCTTTGAACATTAAATAACTCAACCCTTATCACGAAAGGGAGCAAAATAGGGAACCTCCTCTAACATAGAACAATAATTCCTATCATGCGTCCACAAGATCCCAGAAACCGAAGCAAAACGACTCCATAAAGCCTGAGCAAACAAGCACTACCACATAATATGATTAAGAACCTCCGATGCAAGCTTGCACATACTGCACCACTTCAACTTGTGATGTTGTTGAAGACACTAACTGAGAAGTACCTCAAGACAAGAATTGGTGTGCCCAACTCTTAACGTAGCATTGAGATTAGCTCCAAGGAGGTCTACAAATCCGTGCATGGTGTTAAGAACAACATTACAGTTCTGAGGAGGTTAATGATTTGAGAAACAAAAATAATGGATCAAATAAAATTTTCTCCCTTCTTTGGGAAGTGTTGAAACAGAGAAATTAGAGATTTTTTAAGTTTTTGGATTTTTTTATCACCTTTATGGTTATTCAAGAGAGAAATTTATTTTTCTGATTCTATGAAATTTTAGAGAATATTTAAGTATACTACTGGTTAGATAAGACTTTCATTTCCTGCTTGCTTGAACGGATAGAATTGCCATAACCGCCAGTATGGTTATCGTTATAATGAGAAAACTTAGCTTCAAATGCATGCAAACTTTTCTGATTTTACATAATATTGCTTCCTGGAAAATGATACTGAATTCTATGTTGATTAACTGTTCTCTTTAGTAGCATTTATTCAGTATCTTTGTTGAGCATCCAATTAGCCATCATGTAAAGCATTTTTACATCGTCTAGAATAAACAAACTTCTCAGGAGATCTGTATTTAGTAATGCATGATATTATAATGTTTTGTTGTTGTTGTTGCTGCAGAACCAGTGAAAGTGGATATTGTATTTAAAAACCCTCTTCAGATGCCTATTTCAATCTCTAGTGTCTCCSTGATATGTAGTCTTTCTTCAAAAACTGATGAAACTGAAWCTGGTACTTCAAATCTTCTATTTTTGTAATTTTAATTTCTGTTTACTTTTTCCAAATGGGAGAATGAGTGTCATTGATGATACAGATACAAATAACAGAACTGCTAATCTCCAGAATAATACTGAACTCGAGTGGTCATCTGATTGGTATGCGTTTTGATATTCTGTTATGTTACTTATATCAAGTCAACGCACTTTTGCACGTGATCAGTGATCTTGATATATTTACAATAATCATGTCTTGACTCGTTAAGGCAGATCTTTTGCTCCATTATTCCAGGGATATGAGATTGGACAATGCTTCACTTACTTTGTCAGAACTTCACCTCTCATTAGAAGGGAATGAAGCAAAAGTTGTAAGTATTTTTCCTTTTTTCCCTATTATCATTCAAAATATAAGAAAAGAAGTCCTTGGTATTTGAGTTCTTGCCAACTAGCCTGCAATTTAACACTTGCCTATTAGCATTGTTGACCAACATTTTTCTTTTATATTGGTAGTACTCGGGTGGTGGTTGTCCTCAAATGAAATATACTTGAAAGTTACCTGTTCACACAATAGTAGCATTAGCATGCCTGGATATCAAGCCTTTGCTGCAGCTATTCATTCAAATTGGGACTTGTAATGGCTCTATAATCCTAGTCTAAACTAAGCATGCAAAGATGATTTCTAACTAGTCACAATCTATTAGCTTTAGAATCAAAGAAAAGAAAACACAAATCATGTTTTTTGAATTAAAAAATGCATAACGAACAAGATACTCATAGTAGAATCCTGAACCCAAAGAAATGCAACAATGTGAAAATATTAATTAGGAAATTAGTAACTCAATAGAAATGATATATATAAAGTCCACAAGGCTGATAAGACATTCATTACGGGCATCCAGAAACATCTAGTCAATATTTTAGTCCTTTATACTTGCAACACAATCAGCTGAAGGGGAATGAGTATGATAAATGCTAGTTGAATTAGTGAACCGCCATAAATATATGTCTATAATCTAGCATGGCAAGATATTTGTTTACTTTTTTTTTTCCCTTTTCTTTTGGAGAAAATATTTGTCTGCTTACTGGTTAACCTACTTTGTTTATCTATCTGATTTACTGACTAGCTGACTGTCCTAATAGTACATATCTACCCTTCCAGAAGAACTCTTTAAGCAGAACCACCCCTCAGTAGAGTTGAGAGCTCGTTTATGTTGGCTCCTTGTCCATTTGACTAGTAACTTACTTCTGGGCTTCGTACTCTTTGACTTCAGAATGTTCTCAAGTTGTGGTTATCTGTTAACAAGTTTTGTCTTTACATATCTAATTATTTTTCCCACTTGTTAACAATTTATGGTTTCACTACTCTTACAGTTCGCTTACACATCACTAGTTGGCATATGGTTAATGTTTCCTTATTGAAATCACTATGATCTTTCAGAAGTCTTTATTAAGATGATTCTAATTTTTCCAGGTGCAACTAACAGTTACTCCCAAAATAGAAGGCATCCTACAAATTGTTGGTATTAGGTGGAAACTATCAGATTCTGTCACGGGTTTTCACAATTTTATTAACGATCTGGGAAAGAAGAATATTGCTAAGGGGAGGCAGAATGCTAAGTATTCTCTTGCTGATAACCTGAAGTTTTTAGTGATCAAGGTGCATGTCTTCTTCATAGCCTCTCAAATCATCCTGGCTGTTTGCTTTTCAGATTTTTGAGTTGCTGATTAGGCTGTTCTGTTACTACCTTTTACTAACAACTATATTCTTAACATTCAGAGTCTACCAAAGCTTGAGGGTAACATTCTGTCACTTCCTAAAGTGGCATATGCTGGAGATTTACRGCGCCTTGTCCTTGAGCTGAAAAATCAATCAAAATTTTCTGTGAAGGTATGAGAGTTGCAACTTGACTATTCTTCATATACCTAGTTACTTAGCCTGTAGAATTTATAATTTATTCAATCACAATCTGGCTCACCTTGATTAAGTCTTAAACGCTTGACTTTTACTGCTCCATGTAATAGGGAGGTACTTGCAACTTTTCATTAAAAAGGCTGCCAGACAAGTACCTCTGTATGTCTGGCAAAGAATAACCTCGCCTGAGTGCATGTATGTTTTAAGCATGTGGTAAATGTTGGAATATTCTTACTTAATTCCTAATAATTAAATTCTGGCAGAATTTGAAAATGAAGATCAGCCATTCACGATTCCTGAAAATTGGGAATGAAGAAAATATGAATGCAGACTTTACTGCTTGCTTGGAGAAGCCAATTAATAGTAAACAGGGAGTACGTGCTATCTCCAATCCAACATCAAATGACACATTTTTGTTTCCAGAGGTCAGTGTCAAATATGTTCTTTGTGCTATTTATTAATTGGTCAATAGCAATAAATTATCCAGTATTCCTTTGGACAAATGGTTATGGAGGTTTGTTTATAAATCTCTTGCTTTTGGTCATGTATGTCATAAGAAGTTTTTATAAACGAGTAGGATTAGAAGGTTGTTAAGATTAAATCTATTTGCTTCCTTAACCAAGTCTCCTCTGGGTAAATGGCTTCAAAGCTCTTATCTATGAGTTCTGGTTCGAAAGAAATCAAAGAGTGTTTGAAGGGAAAAATAGGTCGTCTCTTGAAATTTTCAACCTTGCCAAGTTCAAAGCTTAGCTCTCTCCAATTTATTTGCTAATTATTCTCCTAGTATGATTTGTTCTAATTGGGAGGCATTTATATTTCCTATTTAGTAGTGATTCTTTGTTGATCTGGTTATACTTTCTTTTACTTTCGTTTTTCATTTTCTCTCACTCCTTTTGGAAATTGTATCTTTGAGCAATTTTGTTCTTTTTCATATCATCAATGAAAAAATGGTATCTTGTTCAGAAAAAAAAAACGATATTAGAAAACGAATTTTGGGATAGTGTTAAATGTTAAATCACTATTTGAAGCCAAAATCTTAAGCTGATTGGTTACAAGTTAATCTTTTGTCAACATTTTAACACTCCCTCTCACTTGTGCATTGGAAAAATTATTCAACGTCCAATAAGTGATTACCAATAATAATTAGACATTATAGGGTTTGAATACAAGACCTCTTTCTTTATCATATTAAATCATCATTGGATCCAAAAGCTTAAGTTATGGGTTACGGTAAAYCTAATCTTTTATCAATACTTTAACATTAAATAGATTATTATTATCAGTCCAAGAATATTAGGTTCATAGATTTCAGTTTCTGTTTGACTCCGTAAGTCTAGGTGGACAATTTTTATGTAGATATTATTATTTTTTAATTTAAGAAGATGCCTTACTGTCTAATCTCTTGGTAATTATTATTTCATTATTTTATGTGTTCTATTTCCTAGTAAGAAAATCAATAAAATATTCCAGGATACTTCAATTCAAGGCGGAACACCCTTACAGTTGCCCCTTTGGCTTCGAGCTGCTGTCCCTGGAAATATATCCTTGTACATTAGCATATATTATGAGATGGAAGATGTATCAAATGTCATGAGATATCGCATCCTACGCATGCATTACAGCATTCAGGTATGTAAACTATGCATGACTTAGCTTGAGTTACTTTTATCTGTGTATAATTTTGTCTTAATAGTTAAAACTAGTGGGTTTAAATTTGATATCATGTAGTGATAATTCATCTTAGGATAGGTAGGTACTTCAATACTTTTTTTAATTCTTCAGGGTTTAGAAAAATTTCCTTCCTAGTACTTCTTTTTTCCTGTTATTCGGGACYGGGCCGTCTGTTATTTGGTTCTTTGGTTGTCCAGGTTCTTGCTCTTGCTTTGGCGGGTTTACTTACTATTGCTTTATATAGCTCTGATGCTTATGAGAGAGTTGTTCTTTCTGGTTGCTTGTGTCTAGCAGCTCCTTTGTAATTTATTCATTTGTCTTTGTTATTTTATTTTGTCTGCTTGGATTTTGGCGGTTGATTTCTGTACTCCATAATCTTTGCATTACAGATTTATTACGTACTTCATGAATGAAGATTTCTCCCGCTGAATGGATTTATGGTCTTACAGATATTCAAATTTGGATTTTTTTTTTTTTTTTTGGTAACTGCCTTTTTAGGTTTTGCCATCCCTGGATTTGTCATTCCAAATAAGTCCATGCCCATCAAGATTGCATGARTTTCTTGTACGAATGGATATTATCAACAAGACTAGCTCTGAGGTTTTCCAAATTCACCAGTTGTCATCTATTGGACGGAACTGGGAACTTTCGTTACTTCAACCTGTTGATACTATTTTTCCTTCGCGAGCTTTAATGCCTAATCAAGCATTGTCATGTTTCTTCGTTCTTAAGGTATATCAAGGAGCTTAACCCCTAAGCTAAGTTTTTCTCGTTGTTGCATGTTCAATTCGTGTTACTGTTTTACTATTATTTTATCTTGATTCGCTATAATTGCAATTACTATATATGTAAACCACGTACTTGGGAAGCACTTTTAATTTGATCCCTCATATGATGGCAAAAAATTATTTAGCCTCAAGTTTGTGGAGTTATTTTCAGTGGCCCCTCTTATGAATGTAGCAGTTGAAATCAATAAACCTTGTACAGTTAAAACCAGGAGTTGCTTATATAGATCTCTTTTTAGGAATAGGGAGAGGATTCTTCTTTCTTAATAGGAGTTGAGATTCTTGTTGGAGGATGACAAGAAAATTTCAATTTTAAGAAGCATGGAAACAGACGTGATACATTAATTTTTAAAAATTTAGAACATGGACACTACAAGACACGTTCATTATAATACATATATTGTTTTTACACATCTCAATGATTCTCATATCAAAATTTTATTTTAGTTTAGGATGCTTATGTCAAAATGTTCCTTATAAATCCAAACTAACCCATCCTTTTCCTAAATGATCTGACATCTTAAAAAAGGAAATTTGAAGTGAAATAATGCTTATGCATTATGTTATTTCATTCTCAAAATGTTTTTGAGTATTTTGACACGTGTTCAACACATGTCAACAAGTGTCAGGTTCATATTTAATTTGTTCAACTAGTGTTTGACACGTGTTTATTGTTCTTAACAAGTGTTCGACTTCGACACATGTTGGACATGGGTATGTTGTGCAAATTGAAGTCTTAATGGTTCGTAGTTCAAGTTCATAAATGTCTGTTTTGGTGAAGAACATAGCTCTTGCATATGGAAGGGTGAATTTTTTCTCTTTCTGGATAAATAATATTCCAGAAGAGTTGTGGCACATGGGCGCCGTTCTTTAAGTGTTATGATAAATGGCTAGGAGAGATCTATAAGAGCAAAACTAACGGATTAAGGCCAAGGCTTTCAGTATAAGGGATAAAGTTGCAAAAGTTTAAAATATGAGGGTGTCATTTGAGTTTGATACTTTCACCTGTCATCCACGGATAACTTGTTTATTTAACAAATTTTTATTACAGCCTATGGTCTAAGTTTATTTATTAATCTGGACGAATTTTCTGTTTTTTTCATGCTGTACTACTCCATGCCAAAAATTTGCAGTCACTACAAATCTCACAAATTCGTCTTTGTATTCAGAATATGAACAACTCATTAGGTTCTGAAAACAAAGTATCTTCTGTACCGGTGCTACTTGAAAGTGATCTAAAGTTGGGTCCTCATAGTATTGATGAACAGTTCTTTGATACGGCTAGTTTACCTCTAGCTGCTTTCCATTATTCTGAAAGACTGTACCAAGGAACGTCAAACCAGGTAATTGATTTTCATCGTAACCATGTAACTTCCAAATGCTTGATTTTGTCATGATAATCATTACTTAAACCATATTGTCAATTAGGATAAGCTATTCCAATACTTTTTTTTTTTTTTATAAGAAACAACACTTTCATTGAGAGAAATGAAAATAGATATAAAAAACGGAGGACGAACAAAAACAGYCCCGCAAAAGGGAACCCCTAAAGAAACGGGCTCCAACCCAAAAGAATGAGACCTAACTTATAATTACAAAAGGCCTTAGAGGCCGAACCCCATAAAGAAGTGTTAAATCTAATAAGGTCCCAAACGTACTTCACAGATTTCTCCATCCCCTAGAAACCCTATTGTTCCTCTCCAACCAAATACTCCATAAAGAAGCCAGAAAGYAGGCTTGCCAGAGAAAGTGCCCTTTGTCTTGAAAAGAGGGGAATAACAGCACTTCCTCCATCATCGCCCTATAGTATTAGATAAGCTATTCCAATACTAGGGTACCTTCAAGTCTTCCCCCATGTGTTTTCACAGAAATAGGTCTCTCTTGCATTTGAATCCCAAGGGTTGAACAGAGTGTCAGATTCTTAGATTCTTAGATTGGGTCACACACTTGGGATATTGAGTATCTCAGTTAAATATCTCACAAGCTTTACACTGATGATAGAGAATTAGGCAGTATCTCTTTTAGTTGCAAACCTGATGTACATCGTTGAGTCGGGAGACTTCTGGGTATGGGAAGAGATTTTGCATTGTTAGTGTCTCCTGCTTAAATGATGAACACACGGCCACAGCTTTCATCCTTCGTATTAGGTCTGAAAAAAGAAGAAAAGACCTGTTTAGTTCTTGAACAATTTTGGGTTGATAGCTAGTTGGTTGACCACCCCATGCAATTTGTGCAACCAGATTTACAGACAACATGCATGGGAATAGCCACTTCAATGAGATCTTTTATTCTGATCGGAGGAGAAATTACCAAACTTCTAGCATTGGCTCACGCTCAATGCCAATGAGATTTATTTTTTATTATTTTTTAAATTTAGACAAAGACCTTGGACATATAATGGTTTCAAATCGAATATATTTTGAAAAAAGATCTTTTATTTATCTCATAGTAGCCTGGTCGAATTCCCTTGGATTTTGGGAGTTAGGGTTAATAATCCATTTTTTCTCCCGTCTGCATTTTCTTGATGGTTAACATGTTTCCTTACTAGTTTGCTCCTTTCTTCTGCATTGATCAGGCCCTAAATACAGTAGACTTTATATTGATCACTCGACCGCTTAAGAATGCTACTGATCCTGAAATTTCTGATTCACCTCGTCTATTTTCTCATCACGTGTGTCATTGTAGGTGAGATTCAAAGCAATATTTTACCGATTTGGTGATGCGAACTTCTCTATTGATAAAACACGTCTATGCATATTTATCCACTTCTAATCTTTTGGCTTATTTATTTATTTATGCAGTACTTCAAGCARCAGTCCTATATCGTGGCTACTCGATGGGCCTCGGAGTTCATATCACAACTTCTCCACTTCTTTCAGTGAAATCAATTTCAAAATGACAATCTACAACTCATCAGACTCAATTGCATCTATACGCATTAAAACAATTGATTCAGTACATACGAGTGAAGGTAGCGAAACTGCTGCTCCCCAATCTCCTAGCTCTTCTGGAAACCAAACAGGATGGCACTATGTTTCCCTCACACAGGACATTAAGGTCACGTCTGATGTTCTGGGAGCACAAATGGCCGAGTCATCGTCACTCGAGAGTGTCTCTCCATTTATCTGGTCCGGAACAAGCTCAACCACAGTACAAATTGAACCCAAGTCCATGACTGAAGCTCCTCTTCAGATCTGTATATTTTCTCCTGGAATATATGATCTATCAAACTATATTTTACAGTGGGAACTTCTACCGTCACCTGGTTCAGGAAACGATGGAACAACAGCCGTGTCATCAGGAACATGCCGGGGCTATCCATACTATCTAACAGTCCTTCAATCTACTTGAGAAATTTCAGATTCGTGTATGCAGGTCCTTCTTCCATTCATTTTCGCTTTAGGAATGTTTTGGTAGCATTGTTATTATAATTCTCCTTGTGAATTATATTCATATGAAAAGCATTTTTGATGGGGGTAGGAAGCTCAATCAAGTTTATCTAGGAGACATAAATTAAATTCTTTACTGGTGTTGGTGTAATAAGGGGAAACTAGAACTACAATGGCTTTTTCACCCTGTCACTGTATACAGACTCACATACGTTGGATTAGAGAGATTTGGGTTTATTCCAAGTTATAGAAATTTTAATTTTTTCTCTCTGAAATTTTGAAGTTTGAAGAAAATTCTGTTTGGTCTCTTCTATGTTGAACATAACTTGTAAGATGTCTCACTTTTGAAGGTTGCCCAACTAACCTATGAATCTAATGGTTAGGTTATTGGGTTTTGACAGATTTTCAAGATTTTTTTTTGGAACTATTGCGAAGGTGAGAAATTGAATCATCGAAATTCAGGATCATATTAAGATGTCTTATCCATTTGAGAATTGCTTGAATTGGTGACAAATTTTAAGTATGTGAACCTTGGTATGTTTTTGCTTAGCCAATTTTATGATTAAAAAAAATATTTCGTGATCCCAAAAGTAAGGATATAGTATGCTTTTTTAAACTTTTTCTATTATGTGTAATTACTATTCAAGTACTATGGACTATTATCTAATAGTTGACAAGTATGGGCTAAATATATGTTTCGTGCCTAAAATTCGGATATATTTTTTTTTTCAATGTAGTCTCTATTGTTTAAAAAGTTTACTTATGTTCTAATATTTTCTAATTTGATTCTTCACCGTTGATAAATATTAAAACTAACTTATCGTAAATTTATATGGCATAATATTGAGTGAACCAGTAAAAATTTAGAGAAATAAAAATGTCACTTGGGTGGAAAATTTCTAATCTCTAAATTTCAAAGAAATTTGTAGAATTTCAATTCTTTTCCTCTTGGCAACATTTTCTCTATGTTAATTTATTATCGTATCATATGATGAGAGTTTATTATTAGYTAAGCTAATTTTAATATTTACCAATGGCGAGGGWCCAATTGAAAGTGTTAAAATATAAGAATTAAATTGAAACCTTTTAAACCAAASACCAAATTGAAAAAACACTCAAATACTAGAAATTAAAATATATATTTAGCCACGAGTATTTTATATATCACTAACAATGTCAGAATTTATTACGTGTTAAAAGGGATTTTCTTTTGGCCAATGTTTTCAAGATATATTTTACATATTTCGTTACTCCTATCACTAACAATTTCATAATTTGTTAATGCCAAGGCACAAGTTCCTTTTATATCAAAAAAGAAATATTTTTCTTTTGAAATTTTAAATGTTAGTAATCTCATAATTTTGTTTTCCTTAAAGTTAAGCTTATATTATTTCCCTGTAACATCTCGGATTAGTTAACTTTTACATGTTGATGTCAGGTAGAGAGAAAAAAGTCATATATATATATATATATATATTATTGAAGATTTTAATAGAGAATAACTATAAATTAGGTCATTATCTTTATTTTCACAGACTTAATAATTCCGTTTCCATTTCTCAATTTTCAAAATGTATACTTTAGCCATTAAATTTTATGAAAAGTAACTGTTGAAGTCCTTACCTTTACTTTTGCATTTAAAAAATTCACAACACGATTTCAAATATGTGTACTAATGTATCAACATGAACATATATACATCTGACATAGTTATTTTTAAAATTTAGTAATCAAAATAGAACGTTTAAAACGAAATTTTAATCTATCGATAACACATGTCAGGCTTCTCTAGTTTTGATTGGTTGCAAGGTGTATCTACATATTTGTTTTTTACGTGAAAAGCTATAGAATTTTTTGACATTATTGCAAATTGCATCTACATATGTGTTGTTTATTTATTTTATAAGGAAAAAAAGGTGTAGACTTTATTGAACATTGATTATCCAAATAAATAATTGAAGAGAGAGAAACAAAAGAGAGGAGTGGTCTCTGCGGACGCCGGAGGAAAACGACCAAGTCAAACAGCCTTCAAATAAAACGCGCTTCCAAATTAAATAAATAAAAATAAAAATAAACTTTTTCCCCTCATCATAATATTTTCAATTGCTTTTTTCTTTCTTTTTTGGGTTAAATTATAATAAAGAATGGTCTCATGTCTAATAACTTTTTCCTTGCATCGTAATATTTTCACAATATTTTGATTGGAGATATATGTCAATTATSGTTKAGATATATTCGCTTTAATTTTTCGATTACTTTTTTATTTTGGGTTAAAATATAATTTTTATCTATTGACTTCTTTGGTTTATTTATGTCTCTTTATTTTCGAGAGGTTTATTTCGATCTTTGTACTTTTAATTCATTTTAGTCCATATATTATCTAAATCTTCGTTTTGGTCCTATAATTTTAAAAATTTGATCATTTTGATTCCTTAATATTATTTTTCGTTTCATTTTAATTTTAACACAACACTATAGTCAATACAYATGTTAAAATGTAACGACGACTTTATATTAAAGGGTTTTAATTATACATAAAATTTGTGTTAAAATTTTGCAAATGGAGACCAACATGGTCAATTTTTAAGAGTGCATGGACCAGAACAAACATTTTAAAAATACATGGACTAAAATAAATTAAAGTTGAGAATACAAGAAACAAGATGAATATTTTAAAAGTAAGTATTTTATGTTTTTTTTTTATATTTATTTTCTATTAATAATTGTATATATATATTTTAGTACAACAAATGTGGGATGAGAAATTGAATCTTCAACCTCTAAAGATGGAATTCAAGATGTTTTAAGTACTGAACTATACTTATGTCGGTGTAAATAAGTGTGTATACTAAAGTTTCTCATTAATATAAATTTTTATAACATTTAACTTATTCTTATCAAACTGACAACTCCATCCAATCTCAAAATCAACATGATATGTGTTCCAACTTATCGAGATATTAGTAACTTTTCTTATTTGTATTCTTATCTCCTAGACCCACTAAAATGAAAATTCAAAAAGACTCCAAACATGTTTCATTTTTCYCAATTGAAAAATAAAGAAGCAATCGTAAAGGGACGRCTAGATTACAAATTTGATTCTCAAACTTCCAAGATTACCGTCTTATCTATCTAAGAGTGTTAATATAGAGTATATTCAAATACCTTATGATCGATTAAGTTTTAAAGGTCATTCAAATTATTCAAAATACGTAAATTATGTCAAAACGAACATMGGTAATTGACATATATCTCGATTGTGAGTTCCATCTCCCACTGTACCAAAAACTAAAATTAAAATTCTTACAAAATATAATTCCATTAAAATTAAAATTAAAATTCTTACAAAATATAATTCCATCAAAATTAAAATTTCACATTTCAAATATCTTTTGAAAGCTTCTTTTTCACGAAGGACTTATTCAAATCCTCTGCCATCCTTCCGAGGAACTTCCTCCATCTCTACCACCATTGACTTCTCTGTTTCCCTTCAGATTCCAAAATTTGAYCAGTTTTCCCACTTTCCCACATATAATCCATCTCCTTCTTCTCGATTTCCAAATTTCCCATCTGGGTTTTTTGATTCTTGTGTTTCTTAATCCAATTTCTTCTTCCTTCTGCTTCTTGTTGTTCGTGGATTCGTGAAGGTTGCAGAAGAGAAGCAACAGAGGACATGAACGATTTGTTCTCCTCCCGCTCTTTCCCCCGCGAAGGCCATGTCGTGGAGATGGCCAACGCCTCCTCCTCCCCCACCGCCGTAAATCTCGACAAGTTCTTTGAAGATGTGGAGTCTGTCAAAGACGAGCTCAAGGAGCTGGATCGGCTCTACCAGAACCTCCATGACTCCCACGAGCAGAGCAAGACGCTTCACAATGCTAAGGCCGTCAAGGACCTCCGATCCCGCATGGATTCCGATGTTGCCCTAGCCCTCAAGAAGGCCAAGCTCATTAAGGTCCGATTGGAGGCTCTTGATCGCTCCAATGCCGCCAATCGGAGCCTCCCCGGTTGCGGCCCCGGCTCCTCCTCCGACCGGACCAGGACCTCCGTAGTCAACGGCTTGAGGAAGAAATTGCAGGACTCCATGGAGAGCTTCAACAATCTCAGGCAGAAGATCTCCTCCGAGTACAGGGAGACCGTGCAACGGAGATATTATACTGTCACCGGCGAGAGCCCCGACGAGAAGACCATTGATATCTTGATTTCTACAGGTGAGAGAAGTCTAAATTCACTGTTTCGAGTTCTTTATTTTATTCATCAATTTTGTCTTTATGATGGGTTCAAAGATACTCGATGATGATTTTTGATTACTGTGTAGGAATGTATTATGAACTGTTGATCATATCAAACTGTTCTGCAATTAATGGTAGTTGTATGCCTGTTATAAATTACCCATTTGAAAGTTTAGAAATTAGAAGTGATTTTCTGAACTTACTAGTGGAGTATTTTGGTGGGCTGCGCGTTTTTGGGGAAGTAGACGTGTTTCTCTGGTTCCATTTTAGATGTTTTCTTCCAATTTGCAAGTAGATGAATGCCACTACTTGAGGCCTTTCCCCATCTTTTAGCTGCATCTCGTCATGTATCGCGTTGGAATTAGACGCGTAGAAGGTTGTTAGGAATTGGATATTTGTATTTAGAGTGAATAAGAATGAGTTTCAAGTGTTTGGAAATGGATAATGTAGTGTTTGGTTCATGGGAATAAGAGGGGATATGAGTATAACYTGTATTGATATAGGAGGTCTTGAAATAGGATGGCTAGGAATGAGATTTGGGATCCAATCTGATGGACTCACCATGCCATCCTAAATGGTTTTCTAATCACTATGTCGAATTCTTGTATGTTCAAGTCGACTTCAGAAATCTTATCTCGATTCTCGATACAAATGGGAAGATCTGCTAACATGATGGGAAATCTCCAACTATGCAGGTGAAAGTGAGACATTCTTGCAGAAAGCCATTCAAGAACAAGGTAGAGGCAGAATCTTAGACACCATAAACGAGATCCAGGAGAGGCATGATGCAGTAAAAGACCTGGAAAGGAACCTCAAGGAGCTGCACCAAGTTTTCTTGGACATGGCAGTCTTGGTGCAGGCTCAAGGTGAGCAACTCGACGACATCGAAAGCCAAGTCAACAGGGCTCATTCTTTTGTCCGAGGCGGTACTCAGCAGTTGCAGACAGCCAGAGTTTACCAGAAAAACACTCGGAAATGGACAATCATCGGAATCATCATTCTGCTGCTCATAGTCTTGGTGATCGTCCTCAGCCTGCAACCTTGGAAGAAGAATAATAGTGGTTCGAACACTCCAGTCTAAGGCCTCTTTCCTACGAAGCCTGGCAAGTAGTCTCCTACCGAAAAACTCTCGATCAGGCTCTCACATAGTACTTCTGTATGTTACTGCCCATATTATTTGAGACATCAGGATCCCTTTATCTATCTTTTACCTCATTTTGTTTCCATTTTTTATTAGTATCATTATTTCTTTAATTCTGTAACAGTTAGGGCATGATGAGGTTAGATTAGATGGATATAGATTTGCTTGATGAAAACCTTGAGGCCTTGATATCATTGACTTGGATTTAGACATTGTTGTATTGTATACACCCTTTTGGAATTTAGATTCTTTTGTGTAATRGATTTTATATTTTGGGAGTGAATAAGTTTATACTGCGTTTTTTCTTTCTTTCTCTATTCCACCCCTTAAAATCGAGTTTCCAACCAAGAGGCTCTTAATATTCTAACAAAATTTTAAAAATTAAAAAGATCATTTCAAAAAAAAAAAAAGTTAATTATTGTAAGTATATTTATTAATCCAATAAGTGAGGTGGATTCAAACTCCTGACSTTTGGATCAAATTCAAGTGTCAATTACCGTTAAGCTATAACTCATGTTGGCTATTATAAGCCGCATTTAAAAATTAATACTATTGAGAATTATTTTTTTATGCAAATAATTTAACTTTGATAACAAATAACTGCCATTTTATATTATTGAAAATTTGATATGTATTAATTAATTTATTGACCACTTGAGTATAGCTAAGACACTTATTTTCTAYTAAAATGTCGTAAGTTCGAATTTTCATCGATAGAATTCTATGGTACACCATCATTTTGTCTATAACAGGTAGTTTTCTTATGATACATGAGGTGAAGAATATGAARATCACGGATATCCACTTCCTGTGTGAAACTGTGTTTACTTTCACATATACACCCCAACGTATTAAAAGAATTATGTATCATAAAAAATTTGATATGCGTCCCGAGGGATAAGAAAATAAAAATTTCACTGATTTATACTTTTAATGAATATTTCTTTTTTACTAATGATGATACCTAACAACAAAATTCATTTAAAATCTGAAAATTCATTTAAATTCTGTCATAATTCTCTTGAAATCTCAGTTACCAGAGCAAAGTTCGAGGTTAAAACTTCCATTCTCTCAATGTGTTAGAGTTAAAAAAAAAAAAGGAAAAATATTTTTACCAATGTAAGAGTTGGAATTAACGTTCCTGAAGAACTGAAAAAGAAAAAAAAAATCTTGTCGGATTCCAGTGGTTGTGGAGTCGTACAAAAGAACACATCGAAAAATTCTTCCGATCACTGAAAACTGAAATTTCGCCGGGATCCGGAGCTGGCGGGAGAGCACCGGAGATAACCTAATCCATTGCAGATTCGAGCTCGTTTCTCTTTCTTTACCGTTTAGGTTCCCCAGTCAAAGCGCATCTTTCGAGTTCTTCTCTCGGTTTCCTCCACCATGGGAACCCTGCGAATGATAGGTAACTAAATTTCTTACGAGCCAAACRCTCATTTCCCCCCCTTTCTTACTCAATCGAACTGCAATTAACTCGTTCCTCCTTCCCATCTGCAGATATTGCGGTCAATTTTACAGGTGAGGCCTGCATTTCATTCGATGATAAATGTCTGATGTCTTTGTTTATTCATTTGGGGCAAACGAAAGGCTCTCTGTCCTTTTTCTTTCTCTGGAGTCAGATTGGTGTTTTGAATGCAGATGGCATGTTCAAAGGAATCTACCACGGGAAGCAGTACCACGCAGCTGATATAGCAGCGGTATTGAGCAGGGCTTGGAGTGCTGGGGTTGAGCGAATCATCGTGAGTTTTTTTTTTTCCTTTTTTGTTTCTGTAATTTTGTATTATGCTCTTACTGTCCAGTAGCTCGGGCATTTGGTTGCTCTTTTAGTATCTTTAAGTTATGAATCTTGAATCCATGGATTGGCTTCCTTGATGGTCCTGTTTTTCTAAGCCTCAGAAATGAAAGAATAGTAAGGGTCATATGGAAATTTTTCTACCATTCGTTTATGCAAGTGATTTCCCTCCGTGTTACAGGAATTTTACTTTTTGCATAGGAAACGATACGTCATAGATATTTCATTGATATGATGGATATACAGAAGGATGAGGCCCCAAAAACTGGAAATTACAAAAACACTTTCCAGTATTTCATTAGACCGCCAAGGCKGTAGTAAATAATGGGTAAAACATTAGAAATAGAAAAATGAACCCTAGAATGATCTGATGATCCATATGTGGGCCGAGAAGAGAAAAAAGATATTTGAGCTCATTTCTTTAAGGTTCTTAACTATCTGTAAATTTTACATTTCGTAGTCCTGGATGGACTATTCATCGCTGACCATGGATTATGACTGGTAGGATGAAGGAAAGTAAAAATGTGTAATGCTAAAGCATGCATGCTAGCCGGATTTTGATAAACCAGTTATGTCTCAGTGTCTTCTTAAGGTGATTTTTTATTTTTTTTTGGTCTGAAGTTGATATGATTTAGAATAGTTTGCAATTGCAGGTGACTGGTGGATCACTCGAGGAGTCAAAGGAGGCCCTTAAAATTGCTGAAACAGATGGTTTTATTTTGTTCTTGTTCCCTAAATTCTGTTAAACTTCTTTATACTCGTTTTGAACCTTCTAATACGGTAATACCTATAGGAAGGCTGGTTAAACATATTGTTTTTGGATGTAGGAAGGCTCTTTTGTACTGTGGGTGTGCATCCAACAAGATGCAAGGTTGTTTATTTTTCTATCTTCTGTGCATCATTCGTGGTCTAGTATATCTTGTGATCGACTTTCCGTTTTCAGGAATTTGAAGAGAGTGGTGATCCAGAAGAGCATTTTCGGGCCCTTCTTTCATTGGCCAAAGAGGGAATTGATAAAGGAAAGGTAAAAAGAAATTCATTCTTGAATTCTAAGTTTGATTTCTTTGGCTTGATTCTTTGATAGGATTAGTCATCTTTTTGCAATATACATGTACTTAAGGTCGTTGCAGTCGGTGAATGTGGATTAGACTATGACAGGCTTCACTTTTGCCCTGCGGATATTCAAAAGAAGTAAGTGATCACCAAGAAGAATATTCTTCAAATCCAATGTTATGCCTTACATTTTCTGAAACCCAACAGATGTGCATATTATTGTCTTGTTGAATTGGATATTTATCTCTCAGCTATATAATTGTAGGTATTTCGAGAAGCAGTTTGAATTAGCGCACACAACAAAGCTTCCTATGTTTCTTCACATGCGTGCAGCAGCTGAAGATTTTTGTGACATTGTAGAGCGAAATAAGCAAAGGTCAGACTATGGGAGAACCAACTTTTGCCAGCTTAAAACTTTCTAGAGTGTAGGCACTAGTCATCATGCCATTGCTCAACCAACGGTTTTTGATCATGCCATTTCTGCTTGTTCCATAGGTTTTGTGCTGGAGTTGTTCATTCTTTCACAGATAGTGCTGAAGATCGTGACAAGCTTCTCTCGTTCAGTAATTTGTACATAGGTCATAACCATATGTTCATCCTTCCAGCTTTAATTCATTATTTTCTTTATCTTATTCCCCAAATTAATTGCAACTGGTAAACAGGCATTAATGGTTGCTCTCTGAAAACTGCTGAAAATCTTGATGTTGTGAGGGGTATACCAATTGAGAGATTGATGATTGAGACGGACTCTCCATATTGTGAAATCAAGAATACACATGCTGGGATTGGTTTTGTTAAATCTGTCTTGGCTTCCAAGAAGAAAGAGAAGCATGACGAGCAAAGCATAGTAAAAGGCCGGAATGAACCTTGTTTAGTTCGGTAAGATATGATGTCTTTTATTGCAGTTCCTTACCTTAAATGGCCTTCTATTTTACTTTATAAAAGCATACTTCCCAATAATTGCTTCTAGTTTTAGTGACCAACTTGGTATAATTGCTCCAAATCTGAAAGAAATTCTATCAATACCTTGTGTAATCTCAACTAACAAAAAGAACTCAGTTTTACCAAATTCTAATATGAGTAAGAGGATAAGGTGCATCACGAGAGTCGAYATTTCTTTTTTTAGCCATTTTCTTCTATTCTGCAACAAAAGTTGCAAAAATGAACTCTACGGAATTTCTTTACAAGATCTGTTCAGTTTTATTGGGAGAATATAAATGCCAATTCTCGGCTGATACATTAGTGTAGTGGCATTCTTCACAGTAGAGTATATTATCCTTGTTGCTGTTGAAGCTAGTTAAAATGTAACTTTCCTCTATCAATCTATTAGTCATTTTGTTTCTATACACCCCAGATATTTTCCTTGCTGTCTTGTCTAGGGTTTCAGTTTGATGCAATTTTATACACTCATAAGTTTTGGCTCTATTTTTCAGGCAAGTTCTTGAGGTCTTGGCTGGATGTAAAGGCATCATGAATATCAATCAGCTTGGCGAAACTTTGTACCATAATACGTGCAGGTACCCCGAATTGCCAAGGATGACATAATATCATAAAAATTCTATTTTTTATACCACACTTGAAAAAGCCTCTCATATACGTTAACTGCATTTTAAATTAACCTTTCCCATGGAAGTTCTGTTATAGATTATTTGCAACCAATTATTCATAGGAGTCTTACCGTTTTTTTTCCCCTACTTGGATTGGTCTACTGTGCAGAGTTTTCTTTCCTCAAGACCTGGACTCTGCCGCCGATGCTCTTCTTGCTGGTTCTCATGGTCTTGATGAGAAAATTTAGTATAAATCTGAAACCTACTTTTGTTAAACTCTATTGTTTTTGCACCATTAGTTTTGGAAGCACGAGTACATTTTTCTCCAATATGTTGGCTTTCTTTCATTACCATTCTTCCAGTCCTCCAGTCTACCTTTTTCTAAAGGTCATAGTGCACTGAAATTTTTAGTTCACAGGATTGAGAGAGAGATGACAAGCAATCAGTAGTCATAATTAGCAAAGATAAGATAAGGCCGAGAGACTGATATATTGTAATATTAACTCATAGCGATAGACTACTCCATAGTACAGCAGTCTAATTCCAAGTCATAAATGACAAACTCGTTAATCTGTGGCATTATCTTCTCTCTTTCCCACTATAACTCACATCCAGCACTCGATGAATAGATCTAGGCTTCCTAGACAATGGTAGCTGAGCATGGAATGAAAGGGAACTGCTTGGGAAGTCCAGAGGGTATGCAATTTGCAAAACAGTTTCCCTACCCTTCAGTTTCAGATTAATTTTCAAGCCAACTCCTCAACTATCAACATCAAATTTCAGGCACTGAAACTAGTAAGCAGTTCGCTACTGTCGAGAGTACTCTTGGTTCTCTCGAATGCTGCTGGAGAAGTTGGAGCCTGTCCTGCAGCTATGTTCAACCGAAGCGGCCGCCCTTCGACTTCCTGCTTACATATTTGCAGAGGAAGAGGTTAATGTATGGCTTGAATGTACAAAATGCAGGTACATATTCTCATGGCTCTCTAAAAATAATGTAAATTTAGTTTGCAAGATAAAGCATTTTAAATTCTGTCACAAGTTCAAGTTGCCAACTACTCTATTTGAATAGTTAATTTTAGATTCTCATTCATTTAGAAAGTAAAACTCTACTTTCTTACCACCCCATTCATGGAATTCATAGCAGACTCTGCATCCTCAGCAGTTTCAAAAGATACGAACCCGAAACCTCGACTTCTTCCAGATGCTCTATCATAGATAACCTTGGCACCCAATATCCCTGGTTGGTCTTCAAAAGCCTCTCTAAGACTCTGAGAAGTAAGTCCCCAACCAAGGTTTCCTGCATATATCTTGTGAGGACTATCTACAAATTTGTTATAGCTGCTTCTTATCTTTGGCCCCATGACTTCCTTTTCTCCTCCCCTTGGAACTTCTGGGAAGTTGACCCGAACTGTCCGACCGCCAATTTGCTGATATCAAGGCAACTATTAGCAACATTATAGCAATCTTCGATATCTTACACTAACAATATACTTCTTGATCATACAGAGACATCATATTGAGATACCAAAACCATTAGAAGAAGTCTGAGCATTTTAAAACTCTATTGCATTTGAATTAGAATCATCAGCACCCTTCAATTACTAACATTATATTTTCCAATCCTACAAAGCCACCAACAATGTCAAATCACAAAGTTATAGAGACACCATAATATTCAAAAGCTTGCATTCAAATCAATGGAAAAGCACTGGCATCTGTTTGTTTTTCTAACGTTCAACCAATCAAACATACCCTCTTATTTTCAATAGGTTAAATTACAAGTTTAATTCTAAAACTTTCAAGATTGTGTCTAGTACCTATATTTTAAAAAGACTTCAATAAGTTTGTCGTACATAAGGATTACATGGGCAAATTAATTTCAAATAGATTCAAAATATCTATCTTAAGAATTAGTTCAAGAGCCTAACTTATAATTTAACCTTCGTGTAAGAACGAAAGAATTAGTAAGTAGAGGAAACAGGTAGAGAGCTTAGAGGGAGAAACCATCCTGGGATGGTCTAAGGGTCAATAAGGATCAATGTAAATAGCAAAGAGCTTAAGGGTCAATAAGGATCAATGTAAATAGCAAAGAGCTTAAAAGGAATAAGTTCGAATATCCTATGAATTTTCCATGATTAGTCGAGGTGTGCGCAGGTTGATTCGAAAATATGGATTAAAAAAAAAACAAAAAGACAGGGAGAACAGAATGGATATCCACAGTTTTTTTCTACCACTTCTATCAACTTCAAAGTTCATCAATTATGCACCGATCTCCAGAATTGGTAAGTTAAAACTAAAAAACCAGATGAAATGAAGAGAGAGAGAGAGAGAGAGGGTTTTACATACAGAGCCATCAAACATTCGAATTGCTTCTTTAGCTTCCTCCAAAGTTGCCATTGTCACAAATGCGAATCCCCTGCTCCTATCTGTAACTTTGTCATAAATAACCTAACAGAACAAAGCATCAATGTCAAGAAGTTTGAGTTTTCATGAGGAATCGATTCGAAAGGATGAAGAAAAAAGTTTCGAACCTGTACAGAAACCACGCGGCCGGCTTCCGCGAACACCTCAGTCAATTGGTAAGAGGTCATCGCATACGGTAAATTTCCGATATAGAGCTTCCCAGCTTCGCGAGATGCCGATACGGTTTGCTCCTCTTCCTCTTGGCTTTCTGATTTTCCGTCCAATTCTTCATCCTCTGCGTTTTCCTCTTCGTCGAACGCAGGTGGAGAGGTGTAAAGATGAGACGCGGAGGAGAAAGAGAGAGGGTGGAAGTTAGGCAAGCGAATTTTGAGCTCGAGAAGCTTCAATGGCTTCTGTTTCGGAGAGAAATGAGGGGGGATTTGGGTGGAATGTTGTTGGGGGAGCGAGAGGTTGAAGACTTTCTTGCAGRGTGGAGAAGAGGAAACTGAAGCTGCAGCTGCCATTGAAACTGCAGAGGCTGACATTTGACGAAGAAAATGGAAAAATGGAGGAATCCCAAGTTACAGAGATGGATTTCTCTGTTGGGAAGCCTTTGGGGAGAGAGAGAGTATATGGGAGCTTCAAACTTTTTGGAGGATAAAAATCTAAATGGATAAGGTTGGCTTGCTATTTGCTATCAAAGTACACAAAAGCTTTTTTTTTTTTTAATTTTATTATAAACATTTGTATTATTATTATTATTTTCATTCTTACGRATCGGAGGGTCGAATTTAGGACTGTGATAAGTGATAGCAAGGTCACTTTATCACTTACAATTTTCTGTCGCGTATTTACCAATGCTTAGTAGAAATTACGTTACAATGTGGTCCTTAGGACTCATCCATTCGTGGACTTCACCAAATTAGTATTGTATATATTTTAGGAGAGTTAAAAGTGTTGAAACTTTGGGGTTAAACTTCAAATCAATTAGATTTTGTTCAAATGACAATTAAGTTAATGGAGAGAATCATCTAAGGTTGTAGTTAAATATCAAAGAAAAGTTTGTTATGGAAACAAAGATATGGCACTGTGCTAGAAGAAAAAGGCGTGGATGATATTGTCAAGACAATATTCTTATTACACACAAAAGGAAAGACAAACATAAACATAACAGTTGTTCTTGAGCAAACCCACAAACCAAGCTTGTTTCTCAAGTACAAATTGCTTTAGAACTGTCTGAATTTGAACACCAAACACTAAACTTCATAGACTTTCTTCTTGTTCTACTTTCAGGGTCACAAACACAGTGCAGAATCCATACTTTTTGATGCTCTTATTCTTGAACAAACCCCCTTTTTGATCTACTGCAATTACTTCATACTTGATATCTGATTTGATGATTCTTTTGTTTCTCTTAGCTCCACCTCTCATATTGAGAAGCAGAACAGAGTGATAAGAGAAACATCCTAAACCTATTGATTAGAGCCAAAAATGACTTGCCATAGCAACCAAACGCGGGTCTATCCTCAACGCGAAGCCTGAGACAATTGCCATTGACAACAATGCAGCAGGCTGGATTTGGTTGCTATAAAGACGGGTCTTGGTGCAACAATTTGCACCTAGAACCCGATGTCTTCGCTGTCAAACACAAAGGTCGCAGCAGTTGTCAGCTGCTGCAACCCATTTGGGCAGAACCATGCCATGCCCTCCTCCATCAATGATCTCTGCCAGTGACTGCATCGATGGTCTGAGATGGCTGATTTGAAAACGTTGCAGTCCCCTCGAGAACATGCTTGGCACCTCAGAACTCGAGAGATTGAAACCTCTCCCCTTTGCTTCATTTGGGGAGTTCAAAGTTCCACTCTCTGACTGCAGAACTACAGAACATTGGGAGCCAGTTGACTCAGAAAGGTTCACATTATCAACCTTCTTTGATTCCAAAGAAATTTTCCCATCTTTCAGATTCTTCGTGTTCAAGAAACGGCCACCAGATCCCCGTGGACGACGCATCGCGTGCAGATGACGTGATTCGTGCATATATGGCTGTAAGACAGATATGCAATCTATATCAGCAGGAATAACGTGGATATATACTTCTGCACAGGACAAAAAAAAATTTGGAGTGGAGGATATTACTGTTAAAAGCATCACAATAGTTTAGTTTGTTCGGAGAACAGAATAAACATAATGCTGATTAGTATATCATGTTAAAGTGCTCAAAACTATGGTGCTAATAGGAAGGAATGTGGATATTGAAAAATTTTCATAGCCCTTAGGTGGTAAACAGAAATTCCAGATGTWCATGGAAATGACTCTTCAGACAGACATCGGTATCGGGTTATAGGTAAATCAATCACGCTAGACGCCAGTACTGGTCGACTTTTAGTGTTATACCCACTACAAAATATAGAAGGAACCTAAATTCACATGCTTTGATGGACATGCTCCTCAAAACTTTGGAGAGACCTGAGTAAGACTTGCATACCTTACGAGTTCTTGCAAGCCTGTTCTCCATCATTGCCTTGGCACGGATCTGCCTGCGCCTAATGATTCCGTGGTACTGCTTTGCATTCACATAAATAGGTCCATCATCAGTTGTTAAACTCATTGGCAGCATAACCCGTCCCTGATTATCGCAAATGGTTAAGTTCTCGCTCAAAGATAGGCAGATTAACCTTTTGCAGATAACATACAATCAGTAGAAGAACCCAACCAATAAATATATTGTTCAGTCAACTCAMTTCTCTACCATACTATATTACATGAAACCCTGAGTTTCATTTTTGGCTATAATATACTGTTTTCTCCTTCTCATTCTAGATTTTTTTTGCATACTTTACCATATACTATGTAACAGAGTTCACCTTTATTAAGTTAGAAAATATTTAAGAAAATAACACAGCAAATAAGACAGTTCACAGACAATATATAAAATTGCAATACAAGTAAAGGGAAAAAGGTTAAAAGGAAAAATGGGTGTGGTTGCAGAATGGAAGGAAACATACTGGTATTTGAGGTCCATAAGCAGAGAGGATGCCATAATGCTGTTCCATGTAAGGATAATTTGCACATATCTGCATTTTTCTTTTCCAGAATCAGAGATATAATATAAACAGAGATTGTATTATTTTCAGAATAATTTGATTAACATTTTAGATCTTACCACAGGCTGGCCAAATCCGAGCTCAAAACGAGTATGATATTCTGACAAGGGCGATTGCAGGGAGAAAACTGGTGAAGGTTTTTGGGCATCCACAGAATTCTTACAGTCACCTGCATGGATTTTTTTAAGAGAATTTCCCTCATTAGAGAAGAATAGAAAGCTTACCATTATGATTGCCATTTTAACTAAGCAAGCAAAAGAAGAGAAAAATTAATAATAAAAAAGTTTTTTTTTTTTTAGATATTCATGAGTGTTCTGGCACCTTTGACTAATTTCACAGGACTTGGTTGCCAAAGAAACTCATGAATATTAAATCTTAGTAGGTGGCTACCATATTTTGAACTCATTCCCACTAAATTATTTAGAATTTACATGGGTCCTTCTGGACCACTAGRCCAACAAATGAGGTTAAATAAATGAAAGTTGAACAAAAGAATTAAGTCTTTCTCGAGTCTCTTGGGTTGGGACGTAGGTGCCGTATAGTACATGAACAACGGAGCTCCAACTCCCGGTTATTAAGAAAAAGATAAAGAGTAAGATTTTAGCTCATGGGTTCACAGTAGCATGCAGAAAATGCTATTGCCCTATAATGCTAAATCCTTGATTCAATATTAGCTAGAAAAAGGGATACTATAATATTAGTTAAAGAAAAAGGAAGATGCAATTCTTTAGTTTTCTATTTTTCAAAATAAAGCTTAGAAGCATTATTTTCACTTGTGTTCCTTTCTTTTGTTATATAGCTTTTAAAAATATTTTTAGAATCTAGGCCGAACTAAAAAAAAAGTCTTTTTATAAAAAAAAAATTGGCTAAAACTTTAAATATGTTTTCAATGAAAAACTAACTAATGAAATGGAACAAAACAAGCATAATTTTTAAAAACTAAAAACTAAAAATGAAATAGTTATTAACCGGGAGCTTTAAATGAAAGCTGCTTTCTTATGGGAAAAAAAAAGAAATAGAATGCCCATAAGAAAAGCAATGGGACATTATGTTACAAAGGGCATACTTCACTTCACAGTAAATGATTGAGACATAAATTGCACAACAGGACTGCTTTTAACTTCCAAATCTATATGGTAAAAGTTGGATGCATGTATTGTTATTTTCTGTTATTTCATCAGCCATTGAAATTGGAAACTTATTACTTTGATCAGAAATCTATATGGGAAAAGTTGGATGCATGTACTTGCTTCTTTTTTTGAAATTTGGCTGAGAATTATAATGTATTTTTAAGAAATGTGAACAATGTACTAAAGAAATTGTGACCAAACAAGCATAATATCAAAAACAGAAAACTAAAAACCAAATCGTTATTAACTGGAGCTTGAATAAATCACTCCTTTGCCCCACCTCTTAATCAACTTGTGAATAGCCTAGAGACATGCTTGTGACTCTAGAACAAATTTATGAGCAATTCAGTACAAGTTTTGGCTATTCTATCATGTAAGTAAATGACTTGGGGAAGGAGGGAAAGAAAGGTCTCATGCATCAAATTTTGACACCTTAAGTAATCTATAAGATATTCTCATGCTTTTTGGAGAGCTTAAATATGATCATGGAAATGGAAAAATAAATGAAAAAAACAGAAAGTTACCAGGATAGATGGAAAATGGGGCTGTGTTCACTTTCTCCAAACCATGCTCAGAAACCTGGGCAGCTTGTTTTGCACCAGTAAACTCCTTCCCATTACTCCCAAGTTGTTCAATGGAGGAAGCCTTGAGCTGACCAAAATCCCCAAAAATTGTTTGGGAACCCTGCCCAAAGGCACTCCACAGACGAGCAGGAGAAGATGACAACTGACCAAGGGAATTGGGGACAATTCCTTCATGTTCTTTCAAATACCCAGTTTGTGGTGCCATTTCCAACAGTCAAAAAATCACCCACAAACAGATGGTTTGAAAATCCCTTTAGCCGTTCACACAAATTCCTACAATTGGAGCAAAGAGATTGTGGGATTAAGATTCAGGAGAACACATTTTAATGGGTTTAATCTCAATAGAGAAAAGAAAAGTCATGAGAAAGAAGAAGATGAACAGCCCCCTCAAAAAGGGCCAAAAAGAAAAGAGGGAAAAAAAATATCCACATGAGAACTTTCTTCAAACACTGATGAAACAATAACAATAAGGCAAAATTGCCCCAAAAAACAGACGATTAAACAACAGAAAAGCAACAGAATCAGAAGAAATCGATTGAACAAACAAACCAACATCGATGGAAGAAATTAAAGCTAGGAGGATACAAACCCAGAATCAAAAAAGAAAACCCAAGTGGGAAAAATGAAGAAAAGAGAAAGCAGAGCAGAGACTGAAGGTGAAAGCCTTAGGTGATAGGAGACAACAAGAAAAAGGGGGCAAAAAGCAGAGAGTAAAAAAGGTACTCACAATCAGCAAAAAGAAGAAGAAGAAGAAGAAGCAGCAGCAGCAGGTGCTGAATAGAGGCACAGGAACCCCATTTGATAGGAATGCTGTTGGTTCATTTCAAGCAAAGCACTAACAGAGAGAGAAAGAGAGAGAGAGAGGGAGAGAGAGGAGAGAGAGGATTAATGAATACAAGTGTAAAATAACTAAAACACAAGAACCAATGATCTTTACATTGCATGCAAGTATTTTGTTCTATATGGAAAGCATACATTAATATATCGATATATATGAACCACATTCACTAACTACAAGAATTCTTCCCCTCACTTTTCCTCAAAATTTTATGCAAAAATATCCAACTTTTGGGCGATCTCACCAATCTCTGATTTTTCCTGTTCCCATTTGTTTTCCCCAAAAAAAAAAAAAAATTGGGATTTGATTAAATTTCAATTTGGGTATATGGGATTTTCCTATTATCCAATTTAAGTGTGCTTAGGGAATGATTAGTGGTCCTAATTATGCAAATTGGGAGTCCATAATTCTAACTCAATACCTGTCTTTGTGATCTGGTTTGGCTCACCAACTCAAAGGAGAGTTGAATATCAAATAAAATATCATAATTATTATTTACCCTTATTTTATTGAAGGGAATACCATTTTCTTGCATTTATTACACTATTTTACTACTTTAAATGATGCTTAAGATTATTCTAAGCTACATCAAAAAGTTGACTATAATTTTTTTTTTTTTTTTATAAATTTGTTTGTTCAGAATGGCTCTTGAGTTTTTGTTATAGGTGGAGAGCATTATTTTATGCTTCTTTCAGATTGACCTGAGTTTAGCCAGATCAAACTTTTTTTTTTGTTTTACCTTTATATATATATTTTTTTACTTTTACTACCACTATTGTTAGCATATAACTTTCAAATCTTACCCTATTTTTATTTTATTTTTTTAATTTCTCAAAATCGATGTTGTGTAGCTTTCAAGCTAGTGGATCCCTATCATCGGGACTTGTAATCTGAACTGAATAATACGGTTAACAGTGTACGTAGGACTCGAACAAAATACCTCATAGTAGATGATACCATGAGATCTCATGTCTTTGCTACTGCATCATCTCTGGAACAAGGTTTTAAAGGTCGATGTCGATAGCAATACCGAAATTTCAATTTCGTGGAAATGTTGATATTAATATTATGTCTATATTAGTGAAAATTTGTTGATATTTTTTTATATTTTGTCGATTTTTTTTGTAATATTATTTATTATGAAAATATCGACTTATCCATCATGCCGATATTGAAACCTAGATAGACATATTTTGTTATGCTCAGGAGACTTCCATAGGTTCAGTTACTTTCTTCCTTTTTTTTTCTTTTTTCTTTTTACCAAGATTATTCTAATGCTTTTTTTTTATTTAAGTGTGAAAATATGAAATTTAAATGAAACCCAACATAGAAACTATTTTAGAGAATTCAAGAAAATTTTAAATGGGTAACTAAGACAAATAATTCCTTGCAAATATGTACTTTAAAGTAGTAATAAATATATATGATTTTCCTAAAACTAATGTAAATATAGTTTTTTTAAGACTTAATAATTATTTCTTTTAGTACTCCGGTGTGAGAATTCGAACTCACGCAATCTTTTGATTGGAGATATATACCAATTACTGATGCTCACTTTGACGCCCTCCACCTAAACTGTGCAGAAAATGCCCAAAGCCAATCCCAGAGAAGAGTGAAGCTTCATAGGGTCTTTTGACATGTCTATTTCACTGAACCTCTCTCCGAGACAGTGCCCAGGTAGTCCGCATCTTCACAGATCGTTACGCCGTTCACCGGGGAATCGGTTGCCGGCTCCGCATTGGGTAGACCTTATACAATAACTGTCTTAGTTCTGCCGTATCTTTTGTTTCATTTCTTCTAGAAGAATCACAAACACTTTTTTGATCAGTTCAATGTTAGTCAGATTAGTCAATATTTCTATGTTTCGATGCAACAACAAAATGTTATTTGTAACAAGATAATTATTGACTTGCTTTTAACCATGCTAATCAATATATTTTTATTCTTCCGTCATGGTAACAGATGTTTAATGATTAATTAACCTAGACATTTATGAACTAAAATCATAGTAATCACTAATTAAACTATCTTTTAATTAACTAAAATTGTAGTGATCACTCATTATGAGTGTTTCATTTATTTATATTTACTGTGTTTTTAGTAAATGRGGTGGGAGATTCGAAATCATGATCTTTTAGTCATAAAAATATGTCAATTACCGTTGAGCTACGCTCRTGTTGATTATTTTGTTATTTTTTAGTCCTAGTTGTATAATATTTATCTATGTTATGCCATATTTGCAACTAACCTAGACTCTAATATTAAGGTCAAGAAACTTTATGGGGTTGGAGATTAGTTATAATTAATCAAATTAATTGCTGTCTTTTTAGAATCGTGTCTAGAGATTTAAACCATAACATACACATTATAAAAAATAAAAAAGAAAAAAATTAATTCACCCACCATATACCTCAAAAGAAAAAGTAGGTTTCGTTAGAGCATGTCTGATGACGTTATTATTTCTTATTTTTTTGTTTCTCACTTCTTATTTCTTATTTCATTTTCCATTTTTCAATTATGAAAAATAGAACTACATTTGGTTATTTCTTATTTTCTTTTTCAATTAAAAAATAGAAAGATACTTGCTAATTATCTCTTATTTGTTGTTATCTAAAATTTTAGATTTGGAAAAAAAATGATATAAATTTTTTAAATTAAATATTAAAATTTATTTTATGTTATATTTATTTTTTGATATTTATTATGCATTAAAAAAAGATAAAATAATATTTTTTATCCATATTTTGGGAAAAAAAGTTTAAAATATTGACGAGAAATAAGAAAATTGATCTTATTCTTACCAAATGCTTATGTTTATGTTTATAAAGAATAAAAAACGAATAACAAGAAACAAGAAACATGAGCATTACCAAACGAACTTTGTTAGATTTTATTTCGAGTTTGACTCATCTCATCCCGCTTGTTAACACACAAATTTATATGAACAAGAAATTAAACCATATAAATTTACCTCTGAGTTTAATATACAATATAAAGCCGATTAAATTCTCAAGATTTCAGGCTAACTAAAAAAGGGGGTCAAACTTTTAATTACTTCAACCCTTAATTGAAATTCAAAACCCAAATTCAAGCACAATTCAATGCCTCTCCACCAAGCCCTAGAGCTCCCCTAAAAATCTCCTTTTTACATTTACATATTTATCCCTAGGTTTAGAGAGAAAAATTGGAAAAGAAAAAATCAACCTGTGTGTATTTCAACCGTAAAGCACCTAAGATCGTAAATTCAAATCTCCACGTCACAAAAAAAAAAAAAATGGTTTCAAAGATGAAATTAAGATTTAGCTTCCAATTGAAGGCCGTTTTTTAGTAAATATAAATTATACCAAACCCACTAATAATAAAATTTTTAAAGTTTCAATAAATAAAWAAATAAAAATTTTAAGTGGTTTTTTTTCTTTTGTATTTAAAAAGTTTTAGAGAGAGATTCTTAGGTGAGATGCACTATCAGAGATCCATTACTATCTCTTTGCTTTATAAAATATGTATAGAGGCCAAATTCTAAAGTAGGCAAAAAAAAGAAAAAAAGTTTTTTTTTTTCCTGATAAAATAGAGCATGACTTGTTAATTGGCTACCCTCCAATATTTTTTAATCCTATGAGCTGTTTGTGATAGTGTTTTTGGAAACAGTTTTCACTATTTTTTTTATTTATATAAATAACTAATTCTTAAAGGTTACTTTTTTCTCTCTCTTATTCAAATAATGGAAATGGTTACGTTTTTTTTTTCTTTTTTAATTCCAACATTGGGTGAATGATTCAAATTTTTAATTAAAGAATATATATCTTAACTAGGTAAAGTTATGGTCACGTTGAAAATTAAAAAATCGTTTTCTCCCTGAACTTAAAATTTATTAATCTACTTTACACACATTATCTCGATATAATAAACTTAAAGAACTTCGAATATATCTATAGAAACTTACTAAAATTTCAATGATAATCTTTTAAATAAAATTTTATTGGTTTGGTTATTACTCTTGGTATCAAAACTTAGTATGTTTAAGAACTCTCATTTTATTTTGCAATATTGACCTTAAAAACCAAAAAAAAAAAAAAGTACGGTCTAGTACCCCAAAGTGTAGGGTAGGCTCCCTTCCACTCCGCACTTTATTTAATTAATTTAATTTAATTATAAAAAACAAATAATAATTAAGGGTATGTTTGGTTGAAAACTAGGATTTTATTTTTTATTTTCAGATTCACTGAATCAAATGGATTCATTAAATACGATTGGCAAAATTTTGGAGATTCGTTTTTGAAAACTGTTTTCRGATTGTATGATGTAGAAATTCTGAAAACGACTTTTTTATGTTTTGAGTGTTTTCAGATTCAGAATTTGAAATTTTTAAGATGCAGAATTTCATTAAAATGGACAAAAACTTTGATAAATATATTACTTCATATTATAAACTCGTTTTATGTTTGTTAAAAAATCAAAACATGTAAAATATAATGTATTCTAAATTATATAACACTGTAAAATAATAATTATACAAAATTCATAAAAGAATGTCAATAAATTAATTAATATAAGTTTAGATTAAAATAAAATTTAGTAGGTAATTAGTTCKAGTTTACCAATATATTACTAAACAAACATTGAATAATCTTTTAAATTGATATTCAATTACTGCTATCAAATAAAACACTGAGAATACTAACTCTGGTTTTCATTGAATCCATTGTTTCCAAATTTGTGTTTTTTATTACCAACCAAACACACCCTAAGATTTTTCCTTAAATTTTGTCAAAAACCCACATTTTAAAAGCAGGTGGAAAACCCAAAAAGAATATAAATTATAAAATTAAAAAAAAACCTTCAAATTTTGGGTTATTTTTTCTTAAAATCTCGATTTTAGTTATGATTCAATGGGTATTGGGTATGCCTATTTTAGCAAGTTGGAGAAATAATACTTTGTGCTTTATGGAACTAGATTTGTTTAATGATTATCATTATATTTGATTTGAAACCTTTTTTTAATTACTTTAACTTTTTTTCCCTTTAGAATTAATATATAAATTAATTAATTTTTGTCCCA